AATGGTTGATGTCTCGTCAGCCCCATCATACAAAAATTTAAGCCAAAACAATAGGAACACCGACACCACTTTCTTGCAACAAAAACCCCTTTAATTTTAATTTGATATTCAATTATTCCTTTCGTTTTCTAAACGCAGGAAAAAAATTATTTTTCAGCAGAAAAATTTTGCGCGCTATTGAGACGAAGTTGATGGATCGAAATGTTAGTTCTCTTTTCGTAGCTGGGTGTAGAACATGATACTCTGGCTTCACGCCTGTGAATTATAAGTAAGAATAAGGTCATGAACTCAAATAATGCTTATATTTGGAAGCAAGCATGAATACTGGGGATTAACTTGTTGGAAGTAATATTATAAACTCGTTCTGTATGTTTTCCATGGTTCATGTGTATGTGGAATTTAGCTTGAGAAGTATTCTCTAGGGCTAGGCCTTATCTTCTTAAATCTTGGGATCCCTAAACATGGTGTGTGAAAGATGGAATATACGGTATGTACGAGATCAAGACGTGGCGTTCGTATTGCAAATTGAATTCAGATTCTTCTCTACGATTACATCGAAATCTGACGAAATTTTTATTAGAGGTACTTGGGCATGTTCGTAGTGTAGGATTCATTATAAGTAAAAAAAGAAAGCTGATTGACGTTAACCAAAATGTGCTATCTTGTGCACCACTGATTCATGAGGGAGTGTTCCACTGTTCTTTGGGAAGAGTTTTCAAATCACGAGCTGCTCAGCAGCATAGGCAAAGAACAAAAACGGACAAAGGGGAAAACGTTCAGAATGGCATTCATCAACTTGAAAACCTATAGATTTGTGTTGCAAATAAGATGTGAGTAAATCAAAAAGTTTCTTCTATTTTCATTTAGCTTTAGAATAAATAAACAAGTAAAAAATAAATAAATAAATAAGTACATATAAGTACAAAGAGAGAGAGTGAAGCTTTTTGAGAAAAACAGATTTTTTCGATTTCTTTCTCGACTGAATAGAATGAGTAATAGCAAAGAGTGCGAAATTTATTAAATCGGTAGAAGAAGCAGGGAAGATCAGTCGGCAGTTCACTACCTACCGTCGTGTATTTCAGAAGACAAGAGGTCTCAGTGTCGTCTTGAAACAAAAGAAAAGGTAAACGAACATCTCCGACTGACTAAAAATCGAGAATAAAGACATTTACGAAAGTTGTCGTGACGGTTAGTCACTCGCACATAAATCAACAAAGAATGTAAATTTCTTTGAACTAACAATCTTTATAGCTTTTCTTTGTAGACGATCAATGAATCTCCTTCTTGCATGCAAAGCCTCGCTCTCCTATGCAGCTTTCGCTCTTATTCTCTAACCTCAGCCATCTGCCCACTTCGACAGCGTGTTTTCAAGCCAAGTTCATCTCCTCGCAATCTTGGTCG